AGCGTTCGCATACGTTTAACTGTCGTGGGAGCCATCCCCATCTGCTGGTGGCCCCAAACAAGCGCAGGGAAAACGTTCGTTCTTGAAAGGCGCTGTCGCTGGCTCCTCTCAAAGATACCAAGCTTAAACACTCCGCGCCGAGCTTTTTGAACCCTGGCTTTTTGGGTAGGCAAACGGCGAAGCCTGGCACAGGTGGCATCCATGCCCAAATCTTTCAGGACATCAACAACTGGCGGTGGCCAGCTGAGTTTTGAGTTCTTTCTTCATTTCCTTGCTGGAAGCCAAGAAGCCAGATTTGTCTTTTGCTAGCTGCAGACCATTAATTTCTAACGCTTCACAGTATACCTTGTAACAGGTCACCATGCGAGCCGCAGTTGTCTTGGCTGTACGCCCAGCAACATCCATACCAAGATCATCAACCCAAGTGCTCACACTACTTGGAAACTTGCGGTCGATGAGCTGAGCAACAATGTCCCACAGGAAAATTTTTGCCATGCTGGTTGCCATCGGGCAACCAGCCACAATGCCCCTTTTGGGAACAATTTGCTCAGAGATCTGCTCGTCCGCAACAAGTATTCTTGGGCTGGAGCGCACGCAATGCAGATGATGGAGCAACAGAGGCGGAAACTTCAACTGCAATGCCCTAGCCGCCAACGATTGCAAATCAATCGAGTCAAAGAAATGCCGCAAATCAGACAAGACAGCACACATGTGAATCTGGGCACTACTGACAGCTTCCGCACGCAGCTGGCGCACGCAAGCAACTTCCATCACACTTCCTCCTAACACAGCCCGATCCCAGTGGGCCAACACTCCAACTTCCTTCTGCCACGCCAGGAGCAAATGCTTTCGTATTCGACAGTGCAAACGATAAGTAACCGCAAGCAAGCCTATGGGTCGTTCAGCAACTTCAGTCTTAGGCAGGCAGGCAACCAACACCCACAGGGCTTGCTGTGGCCAACGGCCAGTTTTCTCAACGCGGTCATACAACCATGCCAATCCAGAGTAACCTTCAGGTGGAAGGTTCTTCAACTCACGAAAATCGAAACCATCCAAGCCACCTTTTTTGTTGGACATGAACTGCAAGGTCTTTTGTATTTGTTTGCTGCTGATACGCTTGAGCTGTTCAGCTTGCTCACAAGCCAGCCTGCGAATATGCTCGCGTTGAGGAGTTAGCGGCTCCTCAGCAGCCTCTTCTCCCCATCGCGCAACCCAGTACTGTCGTCTGGCCTCAGCCCTGTCACGGAAAGGCAAACGTGGAAAAGGCCGCACCGGAACACCCTCCTGCCGTTTCAAATATTGATGCGCTTGCTTCGCATGACCAAGCACAGCTGTAGCTGCCCAGTCCTTGACTTCAGACTTGTGAAGTTGAATTTGTTTCTTGACGGCAGCTTTGCGCATGCGCTCCAACTGGTCACCAGCTCTATCCAAGGCAGTTCCAGTCGCAAGCGGCAATTTCTGCAACACATACTGCAACCCAAGTTTTGAGAAGGGAGCATCACAATCCTCCTGCCAGTGCTCGGTCATTTCACTTGTGAGGCAAACGAGTCGCACAAACGCCTCAGCTTTATGTGCTTTGTGCTGGCTTTCTCGAGCAATTCGAAAACACTTGAGTCCAGAAAGCAACCTGAGTGCCCTTCCATTCACGACCTTTGGGGAGGACGGTTAGTTAACCGGGGCTTACTTTCAACCAGCAGGACACAGCCCCGACTTCCGCCTTTGGCAGTGTGAGATTTCAGGAGGAAGGCCTCCGCTTGTTTGGCCCAGGCTGCGTAACCTTGGGTAAGTTCCTGATCGCTGTCTTCATGCCTCTGGCCAGGCAGCCAATTGACGCGAACTTGGCTAGTATCCACATGATACTCTGCCCAAGGTAACACAGGCCCATGTGAAATGTCAATAAGTCGATGACGGGTCAGGGCTGGGTAGCACTCTTGCTCCAATCCCTGTTGCACTAAGATTTTGAAAGCGTAATGTGGCCTCCATGGCACAGAGTGCTCAAGCTCACACGAGCAGTAGGGCCGAAAGCCCGCTTGGAAACAATGGCATAATCAAGTTCTCGCCCCCACTGCAAGAGAGTGAAGACCCCTGCGTCACGAAGCTCAGCCGGCTCAGCATTCCAGTCTCCTGCCGCTATCCATGGACACTCCAACGTCTTGACTACAGCCGCCAGCTCCTCAATGATAGTGGCGTTGTTGGACAAGTACAACACCTCATTGGCATCCAGATACACGGAGATGAGGACCAAGCTCTGGCCTTTCCACCTGAGGATGTCATATTCAAAGCCAGGTCCATTATGACCGTATTGGCCCTCATGCTGGTAGTCTATATGCCTCCTTACAAGGAGAGCTGGGCTGCCTTTGGTGCCTCCTTTGTCAGTTGCAGGCGCCGGCCTTCCCTGCAACTGCCATCCTTGTTTCCAGAACTGGAATCTGGCCGTGTCCCACTTGTTGCCATCCAAGTGGTGCTCGTGGAGCAACACAACCTTGACCTCATCCGTCTGATGGCAAAGATGCTTTCTAGCTTCTAGGTTCAGGCTTGTGACATTGGCGACATAGGCCGTCCACCATGTTTGCGTCAGAGGTGCTACACTTTGCCGAGCTGGGGCGGCTGAATTGACAGTGTCACCCCTGCAACTTGTCATCCTGCACCTTGCGGCGCTTGAGCGCCGACACCATCACCAACAAAAACATTCATCAACATCAGCGCTATCATCGCACATCTGCAGAAATTACATTCCTTGCATATTCAACATTCTGGAAATGCTCGAAGAGCTCCAAAACCTACCAGATGTTAAAAAGTGAGCCCTAAACATCTGAAGCCTTTTGTGTGCCCCGGCGTCATCGGGCTGGTTTGCCCCTTCTACCCAGTAAAACGCATGTGAACGCAGCTAAACATAGCAAACGCTAGAAACATTAAAAAAAAAAAACGGTTAAACACATGTGCCTGAATCCCCTCTCAAACGCAGGAAATAGACGACTTCCTAAAATCCTTCCCCCCAGTCATTTGAAGCAACCAAGAAAAAAGGGACGACTTAAGCAAATTCCTGCAACCTCTTTGTGGAGTTTAGACGATAGCTCACATTAGGACGTAGCTCGCTGCTTTCCTTCACCTGGCGCCTGCACGAGCCTCAAAGCCGAGTTCATAAGCCCAAGCCAAAAAGCAACTAAAAAGGGGTATGCTACTAAACAAGTCTTATCCAATCTAATATTGATCAGAAGCTATCGGAGATTACCAACCCAACAAAACAGCCATGAACGCACAACCCATGAAACCCTGAAGCCTAACCCTCAAATTCTCATGTGCTAGGTGCGGGTCACTTCGTCAAGCTCATTGGCAGACAGCGCTGGATGCTTTCCAGCACAAACAACCTGTCAGGTTTAGCTTTTGGGTTCGAGGAGGTTGGGTCCATTTCGGCGGTCCGATACTCAGGATCGAACTATTTTGTAAAGGGGGTCGGTGCGCGGTTTTGACAACCACCAGTTTCTGAGCCTGATGATTAAATCTGACAAAATAGAGTTCCTGACTGTACCAATTACCAACTGGCTGGGGGCTTTGCGCCGGAAAGACTCAAGACATTGGGTGCAAGGGGCCCTTTCCCTTGCCGGGTTTGTCCTCCACTTCGCCCCGCACCCTGAACCCTAAGCCCTTAAAGCTCCAATTTCAACCCTGAAACCTCGCGGAGGCGATGCATGTCGAAGCCCTCCTCGGGTGTGACGGAAAGGAAGGCATCTGCCAACCTTGGGCATTGTGACAGGCTTTTGGGCTGAGGGTTTAGGGTTGTAGTTTGTTTGTAGTGGGTGTCAGTGCTGGTGGCGGTGGGGTGGCAGTTGCAGTGGCGGTGGTGCACTGGCGGAGGTCAGGGCGGTGGTGGTGTGGCGGTGGGGCAGTAGCACCTGCGCAAATACAATGATTTTCAAGATGCAGGCGTAGTAGGTGTGATGCTACCGCGAAGTGTTAGACTACCTTTGAGAATAGGAGAAGTGAATGCCAGCAGCAACAAGTGCCTGATCAAAAGCGCATGCAGAGGCGGAAAAAGAACAGGGTAGCGACGACAACAACCGTGCGAATCGGAACCACATGAATCACAGTAACAGCTGCAACGCCACTGATGACAGGACCAGCGGCACGGGATAGTGGGTGTACCTTCTAGTGGCCTTGGGGTCCCCAACCCAAAGCCCTAATCCGCATGTGGGGTCTATGGGTTCCTTGCCTCAGGCTGCGGACCCTTGGACTTTTCACAACACATGCTCAGATGGCCACGCGCCAACGCTGATGTTGTCTTTCCCCTTCTTGAGGAACCTTCGGACTGGGACTGGGCTTGCGAACCAAGTGGCTACAGAGTGCGAGGCTTAGTGATAATGGAGAATGTGAGGAAAAACAAGCTGGACAACAAAATTGAAACTGGAATTGCTGTATACAAGAGCTTATAGAGCTGATACTAGAAAAACCTGCTCGAAACGCAATACCTTCTATCTTGGGAATCAGTACCATAGTATACGAGGGTCATACAGGATCTGCGGACCCCGCATTACACACACACACACACACAATGGAATTCACCTGACAGGGCTTTGCATGTTTTCAGGGTTTAGGATTAAGTGCTATAATGTTGTTGAAGAAATCTATAGTGAGACCCCTCTTTTTGCAAACTCCCATGCGGGCATATCAAGAGTACAAAAGCAGGTGGGCAGCAGGTCGGGACCGTTCCATGATAAGGGGCTTAGGGTTAAGGGATTAGGGTTTAGGGCTCATAGGGTGAAGGCCTTAGGGCTTAGGGTCTGGGAGTGGGTTGATTAAGGGCTTTTAGGGTTCAGGGCAACCTTTCCTGAGACTACACGCCCCTCCGTTCCTTACCCTCCCTCCCTCGAAAAAACATGGAGCCCAAACCAAAAGACCAGCAAGAGCGCCTAGCCTTGTTCAACGGGTCCGAATGTGTTTAAAGTTTTGCCCCGGCAAGGGTCGCTGCCAAAGATCCCTTCCCTGCTGGCTTCGGGTTTAGGGTCAGGGGCACGCAGATCAGAAAATGCTGGGCTGACCTGAGACCTCCAGGTTGGGTGGGGGGGGGTTAAAAACATGGTGCGCTGTTTTAATGCCTGGGCAGACCCTACAAAATGAGGGGAATCTATTGTGAAAACCGTGAACCTAAACCCTCAACCTTAAACCCAAGACCGCCATATAATCCTATATAACCCCTATAAACCCCCTATAATCCCTGTAGTTTCCATTTTCTTTCCATTATCCCTAGGGAGCCCTACACCGCCCAGTTCACTCCAGTAAGCACCTCAGCGCAGCGGTCAGCTGGTCATAAGAGAAATGAGCATCCGCGGGTAGCGAACTGGCATGCGTATAAGACTGCTCAAGTCTTGGTGGTTAGTAGGGAATAAGGAATAGATTCTGCAAGGATTATATTCCCTTGTTCCCTTCTAACCGGCAGTAATTCTCTTGGGTTTGAGGATTCAGGGATGTATATGGCTCCTATTACTTGGGGTATTTTCGAAAGCACAGGACTGCAGGATGTATCTGCTTTCCCGAAATGGCATTGAAATTGTCGTAGGACTGTCTGTAAATTTTGTTGCGCACTTCAACAACACATGAGCTCCTGTCTAAACTCCTAGTATCTCCCTTAATNACCCCTATAGTAGTCCCCTATATAATCCCCTATATATCCCCCTTTAAGGAGTTTAGACTATAGCTCATGGAAACGCTCTTATCAGGACTTGGGACAAATCAAAAATGGAAGCTACTAGAGTATATTGGGGTTAATATTGGGATAATGGAAAAGAAAATGGAAGCTACTATAGTATATTGGGGTTAATACTAGGATAATGTTGTGGGGTAGCTTTGTGCGACCCTCTGAGACACTGACACTTGCCAGGCATTTATTAAGGAATACTGCGTCAAGCAACGAATTGAACGGCTCCTGTGGCTCATAGGATGCTCAAACACACAGGCCATGGACGTTGTTCCCCTCGCATTCCTCAAAATTCAATCACCCCAACCTAGGTTTATAGCAAACCCAAAGCTTTCTCTAACCTTCAGGACAGCTGAGTCATTGCTAGCTCACAACTAAGATATTTCACCTTGGGGCTTCATGTGAGTAGCAGCGTGGAAGGTTTCACGTAGCGGCTGAGGGACCCTCGTTTGTACTCCCATGTCGAAGGAGCCTAGATCCCCCTACATGCCCCTACAGAACCCCCATAAACCCCCTATAGAAACCTTGTAAACCTTTTTGAGGAACTCAAACTTGAATGAAAGTCAGTTTGAGTCCCCCATAGCGAGCTTAAGTGGACCTCTTTGACAGGACGGATGCCAGGGCATCATCCAGCTCGTCCTGGCTATCCGGACGGCTGCTCGCTGGGGCTTAGGGTTGTGGGCTATGCGGTTGAGGGTTTGGGTAGAATCTAGGTGGGGATCTATGGTCATTAGCTCTAAACCTGTGTTTAAGTATAGCGTTTCCAAGAGTTTTTAGGAGTTTCCGACAAACTCTAGTATGAAGGCTGAAGCGGCAAAACCTGAAAGGGTGAGTTCTCCCTGGAGTACCTTCCCGTCTCGCTTTACCAGCACCTGTTTCAACCTATATCCTCCCAACCATGTATTGTTGATTGCCGCTGTGTTTTTTAGCTTCCCAAGTAGATTTCCTCTTTGTACAGCTGGGCTTCATGAGCGCGGTCTCTAGATTGATCGTGGCCTGAGCTGGGCAAATGTAACGTTTTCGTCCTGTTTACTCTTCGAGAGATTGCCGAATATGCAAAACACCTTGCACCCCGCCCAATGCCCCAAACTCTACACGCTCTGCCCTGTCACTCTGCTCTATATCATGACCAACACTCTAAACCCTAAACACTACTCCCTAAGGCGCTGTTTCGCAAGCACCTCATTATCCACAGTGGCTAGGCATGATTTGGTCTTCAACACTATAGGACTTCAGTGGCTTGCGAGTATTCCCCGCCTAGTTACTGTAGCCTCCATGCCTTCCATTACTTTAGTACCATTGGTAGTCTTTATGTGCTGAAGTCAGTACTCCGAGTCGAGCCTCAAGAACTCTACCTTGTCCTCTACCACGCCATAAACCCCAACACCCAAACCCTAGATCCTAAATCCTAAACCCTGACGAAGCTTCAGTGGAAAAAGGATTCCTTGAAACTCAACTCTGTAGAGGCAAGTCTCTCCGTAATTTGGCTGTTACGTGTGCACCCAAGCAATCCAAATCCCATTTCCCTGGCTATGTAAGCCCTACACACACAGCTACTTGACCCCCAGCAACTACTTTGGAAAAAAACATGCCTCTGGCAAACACCATCCAGCACACAGCAGGAAGTCGCGGGCCTCACACACGCAACAGTTTGGGAATTCTCGACATAGAATGCTCCTGGGACCCTGGTAGTCTACAAGGATTCTCAGACCGTATCATAATTAGAACCCTAATTTTGCTAACCCTCCCCACTGAAACAGGAATCCTCAGTGTTGGTACGCTACAATTTCATGACAATTCGTGTGGCCTTGCATTTTTTTGTGAAAGGCTGGCTTAGCTGGGCACAGGTCTTCCCCTTCACAGATACAAGGCCATGGTGATCTTGATGAAGAGTGATAGCTTCAAAGCCCTAAACCCTCAACCCTAAAGCCCCAGCCTAGGCGTTGTAAACAAAACTGACCCTTTAAAGCTGATACCTGACATGTACATACACCTTCCACTAACAACGAACCCCTCCAACCCACAGAATGATGAACATGTTACTATATTGGGAGCACGCCTAAGCTTAAACCCTAAACTCTAAAGCCCTGAGGAGCTTAAGGGTCGGGATGTAGGTGTAGCCTCATTCCCAACGCCTCAGCATGTTGCGGCAACCAAGCCCTGAACCCAAAACCGCCAACCCCAAAACTCTATGCCTAAAACCCCTTAACCCTCAAACCTCACAACCCTATAGGCTGAAACCCTAATAGTAGTTTTCATTCTCTTTTCCATTATCCCAAAACTGGCCCAAAACCCTAACCCTGAAGCCTCCAGCGCTGTCAGCTGCCCTTGGCTTTCTCGGTCCAGCATCTGGAAGGCTGCGCGCAGATCCTGCTCCAGTCTACAGCTACTTGGGGGGGCCATGGGGAGCTGTAGCTATACGTATAATCCCTATGAGCCATGCAAGAAATCCCAAGCATCCCCGTTCTCAACCTACTTACCAAGTCCCCCTGACCCCTCAAGCATCGCTAAACTCTACTGCAAAGCAGCATGTCCATGGAACAGTTTGTAGTCGGGATGGTGCAGCCACGATGATCTAGCTCTAGCGATGTTTGCCTGTGGTTGCAGTAGTAGTTAAAGTAGAAACAGCAACAGCAGCAGCAGCAGCAGCAGCAGCAGCAGCAGCAGCCGCAGCAGCAGCAGCAGCAGCAGGTGGTGGTCCGCTTAAACATCATAGGCAAAGCATCAACACCGCTGTGTTCAGGGCGCATGTACTGCTTTCAAACGAAGAGCCAAACCACAACTGGATAAATGTCGTGCGAGGTCCTGGGGGCCAGATCTGTAGTAATGATCAACCAGCACCATCTTCTTCACCATCAACCTTACAAAAAGCAGTGCATATTGCAAGATAATTGCTGCCTGCCTACCCGTAGTGGTCCAGCATCGTTGTCACCTCCATCCTCCTTCTACGTCTACAAGCCCTTCATGTAAATGCACGGATGTAAACAACACAACCAACTACGACGGCAGAGATCCTCGTTCAGACAGAACCCCAAGCCTAAACCCTAAACCGCCGGATGTGTGCATACATTGGCGGATTTGAAATACCTGGGAACAGGCATCCCCTTGATGCATCTCAGTTTTCCGTTACTTTCAGTATGGGGCCTTCCAGAACAGGACTGCAAATTTCTGGAACCCTAAACCATAAACCTCACATGTCACCATATGGGTGTAGAAACCCTAGACTACCAAGTACCCTGTAAAAGAAACCCCCAAGTTCTGATACTAACATGACCTTGGTATACCATCATGCCATACTTCCTGACATATTTGGCATTTGGGGTCATGCAGGATTTGTGGTATCAACCGTATGGCCATTCCCGTTTCAGCCTTCTCGGCCGTCAGAGCCATGGTACTGCCCGGCACTGGCGAGGGGGCTCCAAGACGATCGGCCTCACGCCTGATGTAGTAGTCCCTATAATAAATAAACAGCTGTAGCAGACACGGTTTAGGGTTTAGGGTTTAGGGTTTCGGCTACAGTGTAGCAGACCCTCTATACGTTTGGGGGTTAGGTTTAGGCCATTCCCGAATTCCATACTGAGCACGAGTGAGCAGCTCTGGGGCTCTAGGAGGAATCCTAAATGCTGACCCTTGTAACCTATGGTGGGCAATCTGGGGACTACCCAGGAATGTCGGGCCTTTGTCAGGCTATATCTGGGCTGAGCTTTAGAGCTTAGATGGACTTCGATTGCACCCTTTCAGCTTTTGGATCAGAGGTGTGGGTGTGGGGTTGGGGGCCTAGTGTTGAAGTTTTGCGGTTGAGGCTTTAGGCTTGAGTTCATGGGTCAAGTGTTGAAGATTCAGATTTTAGAGATGTTTGGATGGTTGAGAATTTAGGATGTGCGACTGAGGGTTCTTCTGGGGTTAAGGATTCAAGGTTCCCGCTTGGAATCCCACGTCATGGTTTAGAGCTCGAGGATCTTTAAGCTCGAAGGATCGGAGTCATATGGCATCATCGCTATACAAGGGCAGCAGTTGAATAACACTTTCCATAAAAAGGCCCTAAACCCTAAACTCAAAAATGTCAAAGCCTTAAACCCAAAAAACCCTAAACCCAAAAACCACAAAACCCTAAATCCTAAATCCCCAAACCCTGAACCCTAAACTCCCAAAACCCCAAACCCTAAAGGCCTAAAACCCCAAACCCTAAACCCCCAAACCCTAAACCTCGAAAACCGCAAACCCAACCCCTCAAACCCTAAGCGGCTAAACCCCCAAACCCCCCCAAAAAAAAACAAACCCTAAATCCAAAACCCCCAAACCATAAGCGCGAAGGCTTAGAAGTTGAGGTTCAAGGTCGCAGTTACTGCGTTGAGGTCTCGGAGTAGACGTGCTTTCTTCGGCTGGATAGCGTAGGGTTCAAGGCTGGTGTCACAAAAGCAGATGCATCGACAGGGGTTAGGGCTATAGATTTGAGAAAGCTTTTGAGGCTGGGGGATTACCTTTAAAGGGATGTAGGGGATATGGGGATTACAGAGGGGCTATTTGGGGATTATACAGGGTTTTGGGGTTAGAGGTGAGGATTTGTCCTTCCAACTTTGCGGGCAGATGGGCATTGACTAAGCTAACCTTACTGGGTGTCAGTCGGGAATACAGGAACATGCTATATGGGACTAACTAACGATGATATTCCCTTCTTCCCTACTTGCCACCGGTCAGCTAATCCTGATAGCCGGGTCCTGCTGACCACAAGGTTTGCTATTCAGGTGTTGGGGTTTTAGGTTCGGCCCCTCTATTGCTATGGCCAGCTCACCATACTGCCAAAGCACCTACCAGACTGGACCTCCCTGCTCACGAAATTGATTCAGAAACCAGCATAAGGCCTTATAATACTAAGATTAAAGACCCCCCCCTCCCAGTCCAAATATCGAACATAGCCGCCCAAAAGTTTGTAGGGGACACCAATCCACACCCCGTGATGGGTGCCTCGGCAACCAGTCCGCAGTCGGCATGGCTGAGGCGATTTTTGGCAAGAACCGTGGGGTTCCAAAGGCGTAGAATTCTGGGTCAGGGTGGCTTGAAGGTTTAAGCATTTGTAAAGCTTTCTCGTACGCTCAGACGTGTTGTCTTTGGTTACTCCCTAAGTCCTTGACACACTATACCCTGGTGCGCATGTGGGTTCAGGCCGCATGGTCCTCACTCAGGCCCGCTAGCTCGAGCCCATGCTTTTGCAACCCAAGCCGTACCGACCCAACTAAACCCCGAACATGCATGAATCCTAAATCTCTGAAAAGCCGAGTAGTGAGTCGTGCCCTTACTTGACCTAGCGGAACACTCAACACTGACACTCCTGTCGGGCGGAGGCATTTTACAATCCAAATTTCCGCCCTAAGCCCTAAGCCCTAGACTCTAAACCCTAAATCCTAAGCTTACCGAAAAGCAGTTTATGTAGATTCCAGACATGGCCGCTGCGGAGAGGAGCTTTGTTGTGTAAGGGAGTTTTCAGGTGGGTAGTTACCAGGCCAGGACCCTTACATAAGACTTTTATAAGGCTTATATGGGGGCACTAGGACTATGTAAGGGACAAAAAAAAGCTTTCATGGGGGAAACTACCCACCTCAAACTTCCTTAGATCGTTTTCCACAGTCACAAAGCGGCGGACCTAGAAAATTTGAGCTGCTCGAATGGGGGACGCCGTGTTGGCTCCGGATCATTCAAGCCACGAGAAACGAAATGACAGGAAACTCGCTGATCCGAAAGCTATCCGAAAGATTGAAACACAGCCTGCCAAGCTGAAGCCATGATTCGGGAAGTATCAACATACTTGCAAGGGCGCTTTGTAGAAATCAGGGGCACTACAAGCTAAACACACACGCACACACACTCAGACCTGTCGAAGCCTACGGCAGACTTTTGGTAGCTGGTTAGCTTAAGGCCAGCGCGTAATTTCCCAAAATAAGGGGTACCCCAAAATAGACCCCAATATACTATAGTCCTTATTATAGGGACCCCCAAAAACTTGCCCCTAATTTTTGGAAACACCCAGTTGTTGGTAGCCTCCAGAACCTTCAGGATCATCACAGCTTTCCGGGATCACGGTTACGTCTGTGCTAGTTATAGTCCCCCTTAACTAGATAGAATATGGGGTATATGGGGATCTTAGTATAATATACCCAAACCCATATTCTATCTAGTTAAGGGGGACTATAGATGTACATAAGGGTGAGCCTCAGGGTTTAAACACCTCGTAGAGAAGTGTTGCCTGATGCAAGATGCTTATTGTCGGCCCCCGTATGCAAGTTCCATAAACAGGCTAAGCGTCTTACCTCATAAAAAAGGACCTCTGGCAATTCTGGATTCCGCTGCTATGCGCCCTATACAACATGCCTCGCCCCTTAATAATTAAGGTTACCAGTTTTTGAGGATAATCGATTTCAGAGGCCGTCGTAGGCACGAGCAGCAGCGGCCACTCGCGCCGGCACGGCTTCAGCATCCGGCGGGGTGGCAGCTGGCGCAGGGGCCGCCGGGTCCAACAATGTGAGCTGGCGCTTGGATACCTTACCGGGAAAGGCGGGGGGAAATTGCAAGTTGGACGATAAGTGGGTTATAATGGGCATAAGTACGTCTAGAGGGGGGCCACAATTAGAGGTTGGGCGATAAATAGGTTATGCTGGGCCATATGGCTATAAAGTTGCATATATAGTTTCAAGCATGGGGCTCCTAGCCGAACTCATAAGACTGGTGTATGATAAGACTGGTCTGCACTTGTGTGCGATCTCGCAATCCCGTGCAATCTCATGCAATCCAGCATCCTGCCCCGATGGGATGATTCAAGCTGTACTATGACGTGCCCTCAGATTATAAGTGTAGTGACCTATTTAGGGGACCCCTCCCTGCCTTAAGCTTGCTCCAAGGATGATGCTAAGGTCTGTGAGCTCTAAAGTGCCTGAGCCCAGCACGTTGGATTTGGGGGCCATCTGATAGACCCCAAAAAAACTGCAGGCTCATTTACACAACCCACAATCATCTACAGGATCCCTCAACTATTATCGGTAAAAATGATGGGAATAACCTTGATCCCCTCCCTCCTCTCACGTATAATGGCATTGGATTTGAATCCTCACCCTGACCTTGACCACTTCTTAAACTCCGAGTTCCGCAACCAAACCCGAAAACCCTAAACCCTACACCCTAAACCTTAAACCCTAAACCCTACACCCTAAACCTTAAACCCTAAACCCTAAACCAAAAACCCAAAGACTCTAAGGTCAGCGCATCAACTCCCACAATTTTCACGCGCGTGATGTCGCCTTCGGCTAGCCCAGTCCTGGCCAGGCCAGGCAGAGCCTGCTCCCGGTTGATAATGTAGACCCCGGGGTATAGGGTAGTTCATAGGATTATATAGGGGTATATTGGGATAATGGAAAAGAAAATGGAAACTACTATTTAGGGTTTAGGGTTTAGGGACCCTTCTCTGGGATGCTACTTGCCCATTGGGGTAATATTAGGGTTATATTATGGTATATTAGGGTTATATTATGGTAGATTCTGGTATATTATGGTATATTATAGTATATTATGGGGTACCCACTGGGGGTAATATTCGGATTCCGATTATGAGCCCTAGTAATGGGAGGGGATGTATTAATCATGGGTCTGGGTTAGGGCTTGTGGGTTAAGTGCACAGAAAAAACCAGCATGACCTTTGGTATACCGTGTTACTATACTATGATATACTGTACTGTAATATACTAGAATGTACTAGAGTAGAACTTTTCAGATGTAGGTATTTTGGGTCCTCCAGAAATTTGTCCATCAACCTTGCCGTGGTAATTCGCAACCCTCGCAACAGCCAACTGCTTGATGCCCACCCCCTAAACCCTGAACCCTAAACCCTTAACCCTAAACCCTGAACCCTAAACCCTGAACCCTAAACCCCTCCGTAAACCCCAGCGCATGCTACTCAACATTCTTGCGTCATTGCATCCACTGCTTCAAAGTCCTTGCTGTGCAACCTGTCTATACTGTTGAAAACCTGGCAAGCAGTTGAGATGCGCCAAGGCTGTGAATTCCAGGCTCCATATGGCCAGTTAACGCTCTGGATCCTGCCTAGGTTTTTGGTAGGAGTCTATGGGCATGTAAAAAAGCCCAGTGTCCTTCAAGAATGACTACACATCCAGGTTCCAGAAGGTTAGCCCGTCAAGAAAGAACCCCGGGCTGCAAGGCACGCCTTTAACCTTTTTTCGGAAAATCTACACCACAACAAGGCCTTGTTGTAGGACTAGTTGGCTAGGTATAGAAGGGGCTTAGAGCAAAAGGGAATGCGTGAACTTTTTACGAACACGGAGCAAACATCATTGGGAAGATCCCTATAAACACGCTGTGAATCCAAACCCGTACTCCCGCGAAGGATACACTTCGGGTCTTGCCCCACCCATTGACAGTCTATACTACGGCCCATAGGAGCTCTATATTATCATTTTGCAAATATTATCCAACTGTAAATGAATGGGTGCAGACCCTGAACCCTAAACCCTAAACATTAAACAACGAACCCAGAACATCAAGGGCTGTCCCTCCGGGGATGACAGGGAGCTTGGCCATCACAGCCGCACCGCCTCTTTCGCGGGCTGCTGCTTGGATAATTTCTGACAATGAAGGTAATGATTGGATGAACAAATCATACACCTACAATAAATACTAATCAACATATGAAAGCGATAATTGCAGGAAAAAAGTAATCATGGTCGTTCTGGTAGTAACATTGCTTGGAGCAAGGGGGGTCTAAGGAAAGAAAAGAGCTTGAGCAAACGTCGGATTCCAGGGTTTTTTGAGTGGAGGTATGTGGGGCTGAAAGCATTTCTGCTCTAAGAAATGTAGCTAAACTCAAAGGCTGATGTAACTTGGGGTTCAGGGTGTGGCTGCGTCCTGCAACCAGTTTGGGATGAGGGTGGAGAAATGCTGTGGGCTTTTGTACTCCTCCACGCAATGCCTGGAGATGCTTAGAGGAGGAGGAAGCAAGACCTACTTTGTCGCTGTAACAACATTACCTCTAAAATTAAGTTGCGGAAACTGCTTCTTGACCTAGATCTAACTATCTCCAGTTACTGACCGGATAATAATTGCCTTGCCAGCTATGCAGGGTCACCCCTGCCACAATTTGTGAAGACATTCCCCTGATGTCACTCTGCATGATGAAGTCATGATCTTCCTGGCAACAGAGAACTGGTTCTAGCTCTCGGAATACTACCCGACCGAAAGAAACATAAAGAATGGCTGTGGCCCAGAAGATTGACAGCATTGGTTGGTCTCGGGGAACAGAGAATACGGTTGAGAAGTCCTAAGGTGAAGGGCTCGTGAGCAACGAAGCTAAGGAATTGCGGTCTGATCGGAATCAGAACTTGGAAGTCATTATCTAGATCAACATAGGAGGCCACTGTATGTCCACCGAGCCCATGCGTGAGGTCCCCAAACCAAGGAGGCACAACGTTAAAGCAAACGCGAGAGCAGGGCAGGACCTAGATTTCTGTCCTGTCACACTCCGGTAGGATTGGTGCCCGTGTTCGGGCTCCTGCGTATACCTATGATGGTTATGGTGATGATGATGATGGGGATGATGATGATGATGATGATGATGATGATGATCTTGCTCATGGTGTTAATTTGGCGACCGAAAACAACCGGAACAGCCACAACAACAACCCACACCGCCACTGGCTTTGCCAGCTTCTTCTTCATCATCACCACCACCACCACCATCACCATCATCATCAGCATCATCATCACTACCACCACTGCCAACAACAATACCACCAACAACACCCTGCCACCTCCCCGGCCATCATTCAGGCAGCCTGTGCTTGCGATACTATGACTGCTACTTGTAGTTGGGGGACAGGGTACTTAGCAAGTATACTTAGAGCCACTATACGCCATACTATAGCGCCAGTGAGGACCAACAATAACCTGCGTTCTAATTCCCCTGACCCTCCAATCAATCCCTAAACCCTGGACTCTAAACTGACTTAACCCAATCCTGGAGCCTTTGCTTCCGAAAACAGTGAAGAGCTGGAGAAGAACAGGTACCGGAACCGGGCCCCGTTTCCTTTCCATTCCTTGCAAAGTACCCCAGACCTCCCCAATATCCCTAAAGCAGAAACCCTTAAAGATTTTGGGTGTGCCTGGCCTTCTGGTGGCTTCACGGACACAATGAAAGAGTCCGGTACCTGGAAGTTGTGGACTACTCGGGCTGGAATAACGCCAGGAATAATGGACAATCAAGCGGGAAAGAACAGAAAACATACTCTGGAAGCCGGATTTATCTAGGATTTTTTCGTGGTTGCAACGTAGGGGCCTAAAAAAATTGAGTAGGGCTTCAGGGTACGATGTTTTATAGCGATATAAGGGCTATGAAGGAATAACATTGGTACCTAGTCCGGCTTCTACTCTACGTAGAGTCATACATGAAGTCCTCCACCTCTTGCGACGAAACAACCTTGCGAAGTGATAAGACATATAGGTATTTTCCAAAACAGGGGTCAAACCTATGTCATGTATCCCCAGTATGATCTAGTCCGACCCCCCAAATTTATCCAGCATGCGTGCCCGAAACCTGGTTTAGCAAAGTAAGGAAGGCGCTCAGTGTGTGAAAGTGGCAGCTTGGCGGACTAGGTTCCCGAATGGTTAGCCTCAATCAGCCCTAAGCATTCTTTAAGATCCCTGGTTATACGGGCGAACCTAGGGAACTGGTAGGGGAACCCATGAGTGAAGCCGCGTAAAACACAATTTAGTCATGTTTATCTCAAACGCCGAGAATAATGAATATAATGATAATAAGAATAGCAGAAAATAATATGAGCTAATAGTAATAAAAAAAAAAAAAAGAACAGCAATATTAATAACAAATGTCATAAGAATCATAAAGCTACTAATGATAAGAATATTAACAACAATCAGTAGTACTAATAATAGTAGTAGTAATAGCAGTTGTAGTAGTACTATCAGTAACAGTAGGAATAATAATAGCAAACTAGTCATCATAAAAATACTAAACACCCGACTGAAACCTGCCACTGGGCCACTTGGCATAGCCTACATGCCTCTAGCTAGAGCACATGAACCCTTGAAAGATACAAGTTCAAAGCAAGCAACCCTTTGAAAGATACATGTTCAAAACTAAAGCAACATCCTGCGTGATCGCTGATTGTGCTTGGCGTTCAGAACACAGCTCATCTCCTAAACCCCAAACCCCAAAGTTAGGGCCATATGGGTTTATTTAGGCTTTATATAGGGGGGTATATAGGCATAATGGAAAAGAAAATGGAAGCAACCCTGAACCCCAAACTCTAAAATCCTAAACCCTCATCTATCTGGAATGCGACTGAGGGGCTATCTGCACCACCTCCGCGTCCACAGTCTGTCCCTGGCAAAGCTCAAGAATGAAAAGCTTGGTGGCCAGAAAGCAAGACCTCGAAACGTGTTCAAGTAGCTTCTTAAATCCTAAATCCATTGTCTTTTCCACACCCTAAACCCTAAACCCTAAGCAGTGTCTTGACTTCGAAGCTGGCTAAGGTTCAAAGCACAAGTTTGTTTCATAAAGAAGGCCTACATGAAAACAAATGAGTTGGTTTTGACATCGATTAAAAACTAGGGTCATGGAGTTAGGGCCACCGAAATCAG